AGGGTCCATCATTGGTTCTGAGGTCCATGATTGGTTCTGGTTGGTTCTGAGGTCCATCATTGGTTCTGGTTTGTTCTAAGGTCCGTCATTAGTTCTGGTGTCCATGATTGGTTCCGGTTGGTTCTGAGGTCCATCACTGGTTCCAGTCCTGGGTTTAGTGTGGGTTATCTGGGTTCCTGGTACTGGTTCTCAGGAGTGTCTCTGTTCTAGGTGAGGTGGCAATGGGCGGGGCCTGACCCGCTCAGCCACCGTCTGATTGGTAGCCTGTGATGATTGCGACAGGCGGACTGCTGAGGATCAACGCGCGGCGACAAGACTCTCTGAGGTCCAAACCACACAGATCCCACCCACACAAGAAGAAAAGCAAGAACAAAAGGTAACACACACCCACACACACTGCCAGAGGGGGTAGTACCCGCCTCATTAGATGATGTCACTTCCTGTCTAGACGCAGCGAGGTGGTGGTGGTCAAGGGGAAGCTGAAGCTGTGCTCCATCTCGGGTCTGGTGGCCGTTCTGGGGATCCTGGTTCTGATAGTCGGGGTTCTGATGGCAGCTCTGGGCTACTGGCCTCGGGATGGACTGTTCTTCAGCTCCCAGCCACAAGAGGGCACCACTATGGCCTTGATGTCCTTCAGTAGTCCAGCACCAGCACTTGTTGAAGGCCAGGTGAGAGTTTACCTGAGCAGAACCAGTAGAGTCCTTTTTGTGTCCGTTCTGATATGTCGCTGTGCCATATGCAGGAACCCAGGTGGGCGGAGTCAGACAGAGGAGACAGAACCAATGACAGAGGAAATGGCTTCAACCAATCAGAGACCGTCAACGGGACCTCTCGAGATGTTCCACAAGGATTTCTGGAAGACTTCCTGGACAGGTGAGCGAACATCAATTACCTCGGTGTGACGACCGACCAGCAGGGGAGCTACAGGTCAGCTACCGGATCTGTGGGCTGACCCTCGATCCAGGGTCTGGACTGGCTGGGGGATGTATCAGTGGACTGGTAGTTTAGGTGGAACTGTCTTTGACCTGCTTCTGAAGCGTCCTGATTGGCTGTCTCTGCAGGTATCTGTACTCTGATAGGCTGAAGGTCTTCGGCCCGCTCATCATGGGGATCGGCATCTTCCTCTTCATCTGTGCCAATGCAGTACTGCATGAGAACCGGGACAAAAAGACGAAGGTCATCAACCTGCGGGACATCTACTCCACCGTCATCGACCTCCACAGCGTCCGGAAGCCCCACCCTTCTTCCTCTGGCTCCGCCCACCAACCGTTAGCCAATCCGCTCAATGGACTCATCAACTATGTCCAGTCCAAGAGTCTGGAGTCAAAGTCCCAGATGTGTCCCGCCACCCTGCTGTTGTCAAGGCAACCAGCCAGTAGCAGGAGGTGCAGTGATGGAGGAGGAGGAGGAGAAGTCTTTAGTGTCTGCCAGGAGCATCTGCCTGCACCTCCTCCTTCCTCCTCCAACAGACACTCCCTGCCCCTGACCTCTGACCCCTGCTGGACCCCCCACCACAAAGAGGCGCTGTGCTCCTTCACGTTGCCCCGGCCCCGCCAGCGTTCCCCCAGCGCCCGCAGGAGACACTCCTTCTGGGCCAGGAGCAGCGGCCAGGAGGAGGAGCAGAAGGAGGAGGAGATGCAGCCGCCGCCTCTGTGTGCCTCCACTCCTCCGCCTCACCGAGGCTCCGAGGCTCTGCTCCTGCTCTCCTCTTCCTCCCTCTCCTCCCTGTCCCAACTCCTCTCCTCCTCCTCCTCCACTCCAGCCCCACCCTGCAGGAGGCAGAGCCTCCCAACCGCCGCCTTTAACACGGCCTACTGCAAGCTGGCGCAAGGAGAGGACGAGTCCTTCGAGTGGTCTTCATCACACAAGGTGACCCCAGAAGTGGAGGCTCAGCCCTCACAACCAGAGACACCCTGAGGTCCCACCGGCCCCCTGGGGGGAGGAAGACGAGGAGGAAGAGGAGCCTGACTGATGAAGCCGATGATGACAGCAGCAGCAATAAGGGGTCTTCCACTGGAGAGATGAGCCAACTTCCTGTTCATCAGTTATCTGGTGGGACCCAGTCTCATCCAGCCAACAGAACTGGACCCACTTGACCCAAACTGAACCATTCAGGAGACCACAGATTGTCTTCGTGTCCCTGTTTACACTAACTAAACCAGATTAACCAAAACAGATCCAACTAATCCAAGATGACTCGATTCAGTCCTTTCAGAAAAGCGTAGATTATCAGCCTGTCCCCGTTTCCCTTCCAGAAACCAACACAAACTGACCATAACTAAGGCTAACTAGTCCAACTAATCCCAAGTCTTCTAACTAATTCAAGATGTCCTGGAAGGACACCAGTCCCAGTCCAGCAGCAGGTCCTTCTTCTTCGTCTCTCCTGGGTCAGAGGTCGGAGGTTGTTCTTGCTCCATGCCTGCAGTGCATGCTCTTTAAGCACCTTCAGTATTTTGCACTTTTTGATCTTCTATGCTTCATTCTTCTGGGACTACTTTCCTTGGCGGAGGTGTCCATCCCTGCTGTGTTGGACCTGGAGAAATGGACAGGTTGTCCTTCTGTCCTCACCTGCTGGACATGTTGGACAGCATGTCGTTTTTACTGCATGTTCTAGAAGCCGGTCACATGACCTGCTGTGATGAAGACATCAAACATCTTCATCCTTTGCTGCTCTGCAGGCTCCGCCCACCTGCTTAGGAACCGCCCCCTCCACGTTAAAGATGGCCGCCTCTGGAAGACTAAACTCGACCTGTTAGAATCCCAATCTGCTCTACCGGACCTTTAAACTCAAAAACAATCTAACTGTGATTATGAAGCAGAGAAAATGGGTCAGAGGTCAGAGTTCACAGGTCGCCTCAACAGGAAGAACTCTAAAACCAGTCCTACTGGCTGACTGGGTGAACTGGTGATGGTCTGGAGCGACCCGTCCAGAACCTGAGCTGGTTCTAACATGATGACTGAACTGATTCCTCTCACACTGAATTGATTTTTCTCAGTGGGAACTGATTCAGACTGAACAGGCAGGAACCAGTTCAGTCTGATGCATCTCAGACTGAACTGCTTCCAGTGAGTCTTTAGCCTGTCCAGGGTCCTCTAACCCGTCGGTACCGGATGTTTCAGCCCTGGTTCTGATCTTGGTTCTGTTGCAGCTGATTGGACCCAGATGGACCGTCAGCAGAACTTCCTGCGGTCAGAGCTGCGGCATCTTCCACTGAGCGAAGCTTCACTGAAGCACAAAGTGAAACCACAGCAAATAAAGCACAAACTGTCCAGCTGACCGTCTCTGACTCCTCCTTCCTCCGGGGCTCCGCCCACATTCACAGGTTCTGGGTCGGCTCCAGGGTCAACCTTCACCTGGGGCTCAGGTTGTTGTAGACACAGAACCGGGCCAACAGAGAGGAAGAAGGTGGGGTCACTTCCTGTCTATTCAGGCTGCTGACAGGAAGTGATGTCACTACGTGTCCAGAGTTTCCTCAGAAATGTTGGGACTTCCTGTCAACACCAGGGTCCAACATGATGGCCGGGTCACAACCAGAACCGCCTCAGCGCAACACGGTTCTGGCAGCGGGACAGGTACTGAGGGTTCTGTTGGAGCTGCAGTCTGAGAGGCGACCCGACCCGACCTGGTCGGTACCCCTCTGGCCAATCTGAACCAATCTGAACCGGAACTTTTAGAAACCGGTCCCAGCCCGGTTCTGATGATCTGTTTACTGGAGAGTCACTGATGACATCACAGAACAAGGAAGTAGCTGGTTCTGGTTCTGGTTCTGGATGATCTCAGGTCTTGAACTCTGATGGAGGACAAACATGAGGACGTCCCCTGGACGAGGACACTACCTCCTTCTGTCCCTCTGTCTGTCCTCTCATTGGCAGCAGGAGGACAGACAGGAGGACACTCCTGCCCTCGTGTCTCTCAGACTTTCGGCCATCAGGGAATCTGATCTCGGATCAGTTTGGCTCCACCAATCGGAGCGCTCCAGGAGTCTGACAAGCCCCGCCCCCCAGGAGTCTGGATCAATCAGAGTGCAGGAGTCTTCTGTCCTCCAGAACCAGAATGGACCTGAGACTCTGAGAGGTTCTGATCCCTGCAGGAGAACAGCATCAACAGAACCAGAACCGGGACCAGAACCAGGCTCACTGTCTCCATCAGTCCCCCCGCCTCCCCCTCCTGCAGCTGGCAGACCGGGAGAGGAGGGGAGGGGGGGGAGATAATCTGGGGGCGGAGCCTGAACAGAAACCAATAATCCGCCAAACAGCTGCAGACAGACTGAGTGGGAGAACCGGACCGCCAGAACCAGAACCAGAACCAGCATCCTCTTCCTCGCTGCTGCGGAACCTGTTCAGGTAATCATCTTCCTCCTCATCCTCCTCTTCCTCCCTGCTGCTCCCCAGCCGGGTTCTGCCGGTCCGGACCGGGACCAAGGCCTCCTGACCCGGTTGGATTCGGTTTTGGTTCGGGTCTTAAAGGAGCAGCAGGAAATATTCACTGATTTATTATTATTATTATTGATATTATTATTATTTTTTTATTTCTGTTAAACTGTTGAGTAAAACATGTCAGTGTTCGGTACTGGACGGGTTTCAGTCCAGCTGCTCATCTTCCTCCTGCTTTGACTAGGCCACATGGGTCCTCCATGTTTGTGTCTCTTCCCCTGACAGATACTTTGTCAGAATTCAGTTTTCACTTTAAATCCTCATCGATGCATTAAACATCCAGAGCCGTGAAAACTTCCTGAAGCTTCAACCAGAACTCCCAGTATGACTTCTGCTGGGCTGTGTGTGTGTGTGTGTGTGTGTGTTCAGGAGGTTCATGGAGGGTGACGATGATGATGATGTCACCAACCCACTATAATAATAGCAGCAGAAGAAGAGCTGTGATGTCATCACTTCTTTCATCTCATTAATTTTTTTTCTTCTTTTGTTTGAACGGATCACTTCCTGTCTGCACCGGTGAGTAACACACACACACACACACACACACACACACACACACACACACACACACACACACAGGTCATCTGTTCATTAATAATCTGATTATTAAAATCTGGGTCATAATGATTGTAATCATAATGAAATATTAAAAATAAAAGTATGCAAGTTTGTTTTAATAAATAATATTTTTACAGGCTCACTCCTCATAGATCTATGCGCTCAGATCCGTCTCACTGAACTCAACCAGCGGATCAGGACAGGGGGACATTGTTTTACTGTTAGCATCGGTTAGCACAGTGGTTAGCATATCTATTAGCACAGTGGTTAGCATATCTGTTAGCACAGCAGTTAGCTTATCTGTTAGCACAGCAGTTAGCATATCTGTTAGCACAGCAGTTAGCATATCTGTTAGCACAGCAGTTAGCATATCTGTTAGTACAGCAGTTAGCATATCTGTTAGCACAGCAGTTAGCATATCTGTTAGTACAGCAGTTAGCATATCTGTTAGCACAGCAGTTAGCATATCTGTTAGCACAGCAGTTAGCATATCTGTTAGCACAGCAGTTAGCGTATCTGTTAGCACAGCTGGTAGCATGGCTCCAGTTCCAGTCAGTGAGGAAACGAGTCTCTGAAGCTTCACTGCTGATGGTTTCTGCCATTTTGAGAAAAGTCAAAGTAAGAAGTGATTGATGGATGATGAGTGAAAATGTTCAATCTGGGAAACATTTACTGGAAAATGAGACAGAAACCCAACCAGGTCAATGTTTATGTCTGTAATGATTCATTGAAACGAGGGAATAAAAATAATTTGTTTTAATGACATTAAACAGCAGATGCTTTGTGATTTGATTTACAGGCTGTTAGCATAAAGGACTGAATGTGAAACATTTTGGGGTTTTAAGTAAAAACTCCTGAATGTTCCTGAGGGGAACAGAACCGACCCGATTCTGTGGTTCTGGTTCTGCTGATCAGATTAAGCTCACCAGCATGAGAAAACAGATTTACTGCAACATCAGAGAGGAACTCTCTGCTTGGGCCCCCTGAACCCTCGGTTCCGGCCCTCGGGGGGCCCCTGAACCTCCGGGGCTCCGCGGCGTCTGAAGAATGACTATATGAAAGTTTAATAATATTTCCAAACAAAGGCTAGCGGAGCTCGGCGTGCGTCATTACGTCACAGCCAGTCGTAGTAGGTGATGACGTAGAGAGCAGAGCGGCATCGCTGACCGGCGGAAAGAGGGCGAGCGTCCTGCACGAGGACAGGTAAAGTGGTGCTTTGATGTCAGAGCAGCTGGTCCGGTTCGGTTCGGTCCGGTTCGGTCACTAGACAGAACCTCCAGCTACTGCCGCTCGGTTCCGGTCCCGCTGCAGCCCGATGCGCGTGTCCGTGTCCTGCTGCAGGACCTCAGGCACGCGCGTGCCCCGGGACACTCCCGCAGAGGAAGAGGAGGAGGAGGAAGAGCTGCGCTGCGGTCCGGTCCGGTCGGTCTGGACCCGGTTTCATGCGTTCGGTTCGGGTTCGTGCTGCGGGTGGTGAGTCAGCTGGTTCTGGTGATGAAGAGCATCCTCATCTTCATCAGGATCACCTGAACAAAGCAGCGCGTGCTGCTGCTGAGGAAGATTAGGATGATGATGATGATGATGATGGGAGGGTCCTGCTGCTTCAACCCACCCGGGACCCGAACCGGTTCTGAGTCCTGGCTTCTTCCAGAACCTGACGACTCTGGTTCTGCAGGTTCAGTTCTCCTGTACGAATAATTCTGACTTCATTAGTACAGCCTGGAGAACAGAACCGGTCCAATTCACCAGAACCAGAACAAAACCGGTCCATTTTACCAGAACCAAGACAGGCTTCGAGATCAGAACCATCAGAACCAGAACCATCAGAACCATCTAACGTCACTGATCTTCAGGAGGTTCTGAAGGTTCCAAATGGTTAATCCTCTAAAATGATGATTTTAAATTCTGGTTCTGGTTGGGTTCTGACAAACTAGACCAGTTTGTCAGAACCCAACCAGAACCAGCTGTTTTTCCATTCTGGTTCCAGAACCTTCCTCTCAGAATCTCATCATCATCCTCACCAAATCAGATTACATCAGATTGTCTCCGGCTGTAATCCTTCTCTCGCTGCTGTTGCCGTGGTAACCATTCACCTGACAGCTGGACGGGTCAGCGGCTGGTTACCATGGCAGTTGGCGTGATGTCACGGTTCTGGTCTGGAGGTCCAGTTTGGGTTCTGGGTGGCCTGGTATCACATCAGCATCAAGTGATGATTAATTAACCATTAAGTAATGAACCAAACATCACTTCCTGAATCGTATCCTGCTCTGACATCACTGGTCTCCGTGGTAACCGTGGCATTAAGCTGTGACATCACTGTCTCCAGGTGAATCACCATGACAACAGAGCCAAGTGAAGCCCAGCCCCCAGAGGCGGAGCCTTTCCCTGAAGCCGCCGCCCACTCCACACCTAAACAGGTAACTGGCCTCAGACCCAGGATGACCTCTGACCTCAGGCCTGCTGTTAATGGTGACATCACTTCCTGTTTTCTCAGGGAGGGGAGGGCCCAGCTCAGAGCTCATTGGCTGAGGACTCCAGCAGTCCGCTGTCGTCAGGCGGACGCGTCACTCGCTCTCCGGCCAGAACCGCGCTGGGCTTCAGAACCATGCAGACCCGGGTGGCGCTGCTGGACGGGTCGCAGTTCACCTGCATCGTGGAGGTGAGATGGGTGGTGCTGAGGGAAGGGGACACATGATGGACAAACTGGACAGGGACAGACAAGGGCGTAGATCCCATCTCATTATTGGGGGGAACCATAAACAGGAACATTTCTTAAGAGCAATTTTGGGGGAGGGGGGGGGTCGGCAAAGTTACAGTGAAATGTCACGTAAAAATGGTTTAAAAAGTTTTTAAACCACATTCAAGCTGCAGGACCAAAAATGACTAGTAATGCACATCAAAGGTGTTTTTCTAAGTAAGCAGCCTGCAGTGAAGTAAAACTAAAATTCAAATGTTGCTTCTATACAAGTTTTGTTCAGTCTGACTGATCTGATCTCTGCTACACCTTTGCAAAAATTTAAAGGTGTATACAAAATACAAATGTTTTAATGAGTAACTGCTCTTAATAAAATTCCTCATAAACATTGATTTGTTGAAATGGCTCGCAATACAAGTTATGGGCTGTTTAAATTATAACTTAAGTTGCTTTATTTTTAAGCCGTTTTTAGTTTTGTCCTGGGTGCCGGAGAACCAACAGGTAGATAGAAATGAATATCTGGGGGGTATTATAACTTAAACGTGACACTGAAAGCACCAGGGCTTCTACAGAAAAATATTCATTTTATTTTGTGGCTCTGCATTGAAGACAATGAGAAATAAAGGCAGTTTTCTGTTTTTCTATCCGCTCTCAGCTCCCACTCTGAGCTGGTCCACCTGCTCAGCTCCTCCCTCCCGTTTCAAACTCTTCTAATTAACTAAAAGTTAAAGAGTTAAATATGAATGAGATGTTTGCTACCTTTAACAAAAAGCTTAATTCTATGAAAGCAGTGTAGCAGTTTTGCTAATAAGGCAGTTTATCATGATTCAGCCAAAGTAATAAAATAAACTGCAGTCTGATTTTTATTGTCAATGTGTTTGTTGTTATTGAGCAGTGAAAGTAAATAAAATGTTTACATTTCTTTTAAGTATTTACTTACTGGAGGGTTTTTATTTGTGCTGCAGAGCCACAGCTAACAGCTAACAGCTAGCTCCTCACTTAGCGGCTCTGACCAGCCGGTGCCATTGCAGCTGTTGCTCCTCCTTCAAGTTGGACTGAACCATTGTTCTAACATTAGAGGGGGGACCTAAAAATTAAGTATTTTTTTCTGAGATAAATGGCAGATTTAGTTCGTTCTTTGTTTCTTTTGCCTTTTCATATTGATATTTAAATGCAAATGTTTCTTCAGTGATTTTTTTTGGAGGGACAATTCTAGACTTTTACAAGATTGGGAGTTCAGGACTAATCAGCTAACAGTAGAGCTAACTGTAGCGCACTTAGCTTAAATTCTGAAGTGTTAGCTAGCTCTGCTCTTTGCTAAACATCCGGTAGAATAAAGTTCAACGTCTGTGTTGAAGTTATCATTATTAAAGTAGTTGGATGTTTGTACTCATGCTCTTATTTTGAAGACGTTTTTGTTCCATTTCTTGAAGTGGAAATGTCACATGGTGCATTCAACATGGTTGAGATCAGAGCTTTAGCATTTGTTTCCACTAAACCCCATTCAGGTTAGCGCTGCAGTGCTAGTGAAGAGGACTGACCCCTGATCAGTTAGCGTAGCTAGCTGTTTAGCTCCTCACCTTTAAATGATTTTATTCAGAAATAAAAATATTTATTTTAATCTGTTTCACTTTCTGTCGTTACCTGTCTGACATTTAGCCATTGTGCTAATTAATGTTACTGTAAACCACAGTAATGTTGACTAATGTGGACCGTCCTAGTCAAATCATGAAGTAAACCAGTAGCAACAACTACCCGTTCGCTCTCTGGTTACAGAAACGATCTCGAGGTTTGCAGCTGTTTGAGAAAGTTTGTGATCACCTCAATCTGCTGGAGAGAGATTACTTCAGCCTGTCCTTCAGAGACGCAGACAGCAACAAGGTACATGTCTCACATGTCTCTATCTGTCTCTGTCTGTCTCACCTGTCTCTATCAGTCTCTGTCTGTCTCTCTACCTGTCCAGTTAACCAGTAATGTTGACAGATTTTATGTCTGAATAGACCCTAGTTAACCTGTTATTCACGAGAGGACCCAAATTTGGGTCCTCTCGTGACAGGGGTGACAAACTCCAGTCCTCAAGGGCCGCTGTCCTGCAACTTTTAGATGTGCCTCTGCTGCACCACACCTGAAAAGAATAATTAGGTCATTAGCAAGGCTCAGGAGAACCGATCTACACAGGGAGGAGGTAATTAAGCCATTTCATTCCACTGTTTTTTACCTGTGGCACATCTAAACACTGCAGGACAGCAGAGGGCTGGAGTTTGACACCCCTGTCATTGTGAATGACAACCTGTGAATGACAGGTTAAAGAACAAAGCAGCCAGGTTTCCTATTTAAAGGATGCTTCTGTCCACATGTCTAACTGTCCACATGTCTGTCTCTCTGTTGCAGAACTGGTTGGATCCTGCGAAGGAGATTAAGAAGCAGGTCAGAGGTCAGTTTGGAGCTGATTGGTTGGTTGTTGCGTCTTCGCCGTTCCTTTCCGTTAGCGCTGACTCTTCTCTTCTCTCCTCAGGCGTTCCCTGGAACTTCTCCTTTAACGTAAAGTTTTACCCTCCGAACCCGGCCCAGCTGTCTGAGGACATCACCAGGTACAGCGCCACCTGTTGACCAGCTCTCAGCACGTCCTCGTCTTCGTATCTCACCTGGTTTCTGTCTCTCGGCAGGTACTTCCTGTGTCTGCAGCTCAGACAGGATATCGTTTCCGGACGTCTTCCATGTTCCTTTGCGACTCACGCTGTTCTTGGTTCCTACACGGTTCAGTCAGAGCTCGGAGACTACGACTCTGGTACGGAAAACACCTGAGAGACTGAAGTCTGGTCCAGAGCCTGACCCTGACTGACCCCAGGGGTCAGAGCAGGTCAGTGTTTCTGGGTTGACCCTTGTCCGCCTGGTTTCCAGATGAATGTGCTCCAGACTACGTCAGTGAGTTGTGTTTCGCTCCAAACCAAACCAAAGAGATGGAGGCCAAGATCGTGGATCTGCACCGGACCCTCAGGTCAGCGGGCCGCGGTGCCGGTCGGATGTGTCCGGGTTCAGGTGAGGTTCTGGAGTTCTGACGGGTCTCTGTGTGTTTAGGGGAATGAGTCCAGCAGAAGCTGAGATGCATTTCCTGGAGAATGTGAAGAAGCTGTCCATGTATGGAGTGGACCTGCATCACGCCAAGGTGAGGCCGACCGGGTTCTGGGTTCTTCCAGTCAGGGCCGACCGGGTTCTGGGTCACCGTATTGTTTGTTTTTTCTGAACCATCAGTGAAGCGTTTTGAGGGTCTGGTTCTGTCGGACCACGGCTCTGGCCCGTCCTCATTGGGTTCAGTCGCGCTGCTGCTCTGCTTTCAGAGTTTCCAATAAATCAGCAGCGACACACTTCCTGTTCCATCGATAGCGGCGGCTGCTGCTGATGGGACAGAAATGATTTTTCCACCATCAGGTTCAGTTCACCAGAATCTCTGATCAGGACCGACGGCTAAATGGGTCCGACTGATCCCATCATCAGCCAGAAGACAAACCTGCATTCACCTCACCTGTACATCCTCCTGACCTCAGTGACCCCTGACCTCAGTGACCCTGCCCTCACCCTGACTCTCAGCTTGGCTGAACTTTCTGTTTCCTGTTGCACTGGATTTAATTTCTAACTGGCTTCTCATTGGTTCCTTCTGAGCCAATCAGAGCTTCCCTTGGTGTCCAACAGAGTCCATTTGTCCTTCAGGACGTCCTGCTAGCAAACCTTCAGTTTAATGATGTGAGTGTCTCTGTTGGACAGTCTACATTCAGACCAGTCCTTCTGTCTGAATGACTGTCTGTCCCTCTGTCTCTTTGTCTCTGTCTCTCTGTTTGTCTTTGTCCGTCTCTCTTTCTGTCCTTCCGTCTCTCTGTCTCTGTCTCTGTCTGTCCGCCTGCTTGGACTAGATGGCAGGAAACCGTTTTGACTGTCTGTCTGCTCAGTCAGAGGTAAGACGGCGTCCTCAGTGTGATCCTGATTGTCCTGAGGTTGTCCAGTTTGTGGACAGACGGCGGTTCTGTTGAGGAACCGTCTCTCATGGATTGCACGATTAGATCAGAACCTGATACCTGGCCCAGTCTCACCTGGACTCACCTGTTGCTGCCGTCGCCGATTCTGAGCCCAGGTGTTCCCCTGATGTCCCCCAATGTCCCCTGATGTCCATGTTCCTGCAGCTGTGCCTGAAGTGGCCGTGTTGCCTTCACTGACCGCTGTATGTCTGCAGGACTCGGAGGGCGTGGCCATCATGCTGGGCGTGTGTAACAGCGGGCTGCTGGTGTACAGAGACCGGCTGAGGATCAACCGATTCTCCTGGCCAAAGATCCTGAAGATTTCCTACAAACGGAACAACTTTTACATCAAGATCCGACCTGGAGAGGTGAGACGGACGGAAGACACCCTCTGTCCTCTGACCCAGCAACTGACAACCAGTTGTTAGCATGTTGAAGAGGTGGCTGCAGTTCTGCTAATCTGCTAAGGCGCTAATAGCAGAGCTAATTGTTTTATTTACCGCTTTAGCATTTTGTTAACCTTTAGCACACTTAGCTACTATGTTACTGTCACTGACACATGATTGATCAACATGTTTAAAGTTAGTGCTCTAGCATTAGCCTCTGCTAAATACTATGTTAGTATAGGACTTTAGCATTAGCATAGCTAATGTTTATTATTAGCACTTTACAATAGACCTAGTGCTTTAGGTATAGCGCAGCTAGTTTGTTAGCTAGCAGTGCACACCACTACCAAGTTGTTGTGGAGTGCTAATGAGCTAACATGTAGCTGCGTTGCTAGCAGCTGATGCCTGCTGGGTTTACTGTAACCTCTGTTTGTCTCCAGTTTGACCAGTTTGAGTCCATCATTGGCTTCAAGCTGCTAAACCACAGAGCAGCCAAGCGGCTGTGGAAGGTGTGTGTGGAGCATCACTCCTTCTTCAGGTCGGCAGCTCTCTGGTGTCCAAACATCTCCGTCCATGTGTCCAGGAGACGTCTCACAGCCGTCTGTCTCACAGGCTGCTGTCTCCTGAGGAACCGCCAAAGAAGTTTCTGTCTCTGGGGTCAAAGTTTCGCTACAGCGGTCGGACCCAGATTCAGAGCCGCAGAGCCAGCGCTCAGATATCCAGACCCGCTCCCAACTTCCCACGATGCATCAGCAAGAGGAACATGCTGAGCCGGAGCCTGGACGGAGGTACCAATCACACCAGTTACCAGTAGGTCATTGGTTTCTGTAGAGCTCCAGTGCTGGTTCTGTTGTTCTGGTCTCAGAAGGAGTACGGACCCCTGTAGTTAGTCCTGATTCTGGTGCAGGCATTGGTACCCAGACCCGGTCCTCAGGGCCCGCTTCTCTGCTCCAGCACTCCTCATTCAAATGATGGTGGTGTGCTCTGCAGAAACCAGCTGGGGGCCCATTCATACATCAGGTCTGAAGCATGGAGGACGGGGCCTTGAGCACTGGGGCCTCTGGTAGGAGCTCCAAGCTCCCTGACAGAGTCTCTAGGTCCACTTTCTATGGCTGGTTCCAGAGGAAGGGGAGTACTGATGGGTCACTAGAGTGTTTACATGTTCCTTACCCATTTCTGATTGGTCTTTAGCTTCCAGGACCACAGCAACGTCTTCTCTGATTGGCTCTCCTGCCATCACTGTGTCGCTCAAAGCCAACGATCGAGCTTACTCAGGTAGTCCTGAACTCTGCAGCTCTGAGATCTGCTAATTGGTTGGAGTGCTGCTGCTCTCTGATTGGTTCCAGGTCTTGCTTCTCTCAGCTTTTTTGGATTGTTGCATCCTGACTGGCTGTGCTTGTTTCAGACCCGCCACTGATCATCTGTTTGCGTTGATGCAGTCACATGTCAGACATGCGCTGCCATCAACATGTGTGCAGGGGGCGCTGTGGGGCTCAAGGGCAGAGACGGTGCACCATACATGGAAACTGTTCACTTCATTCTCAGCAGCCAACCACTGCTAAAGATCGACCTTTGTACACAGAGCAGAACGAACCAGACATGATTATCTCTACAGACTGATTCTTGACAAGTCCTCTCTAAACCTCCAAAAACTCGCATAAACCAGACAACCAAACTACTGTATGCTCCACCAGGCGCTCTGCTCTTCCTGAATCTGAGGCTTGATGATGTTTGGAGCCTCCAGGTTCTGGTTGACTCTGGAGTAAACCTTCATCAACCTCAGTGACCTCTGTCCCTTTCTAACGCATCTAATCCAGAACTTCTTTGTAGATTTCCTCTCTACCCAGAGTTCGGTTCATCAAAGGTTTCTCTTGCGTACCTCTGTACTCTGATACCAGCTCACTGCTGGCTGTTTGAGCAAAGCAAGCAGTCGGATCCTTCTTCTCCCTGAACGAGACAAAGCAGAGACCGTGTGGACGACCACAGGGAGGAGTCCAACACTGTCAGGGACCTGAGAGTGACCTTTGGAGTCTTCAAGTTCAGGTGTTCAAGGTGTGTGTAGAGTTAGATCTACCAACACACTTTTCTGTTGGATCAGCTGTTTTTGTTCCATGGCCGACCAAAGGTCAGGCTTCATAAATCCTCACCGTCTGTCCATGTCCTGCTGCGTCCTCCATCACCCAGAGACCTGCAGATGCAGGTTCTGACCCGAACCGGGTTCAAACCGGATCCCACCTCCACCTGGAGGAGGGAACCTGGTACCCGCTCCACCACCAGGTGGGTTCCCTGGTCTCTGACCTTGGTATTGGCCATGTTGTTCAGAAGAACCTTTGTCACCATGTGACACCAACGCTGCGCTCTGATTTGTCCGCCAGGACGCCATGCATGTGCCCTTAGCTCTGATTGGCTGATTGTGCTGTTGCCTTGGCAATGAGCTGTTATGAACAGACTGACTGAGCATCACAATGGTTGCTATGGCAAAGGTGACTGTTGGTTTCCTGTGCTGATGTAATGGTGATGACATCACAGCGGTGTGTGTGTGTGTGTGTGTGCAGACATGGGCTCAGGACTGTACGGAGCATCGAAAGCCATCGCTGTCAGCGACCACATCGCCACGGTAACCAGGAGGCTGGACGACAGGCGGGAGGAGCCAGGTAAGAATCTGACCAATCAGAGGAGAAGAAGCAGCTGAGCTTCCTGCCGCGTCGACGCTGGACGAACCGATGATCGATGGATAAAGATCGATCAATTGGTACCATTAGCTTAATAAACCAGGGGAGGACTTTCTCTGGAAGAACTGGACGGGTCACAGTGTCTCATAAAGGGGACACGGACACCTGTCCAACCCATGAAGGTTCTGGTTCTGGTTCCAGTTGAGGAGGTTCTGCTGCTGCTGGTGGAGGAGGAGCAGAAAGAGGAGCGGAAAGAGGAGCAGAAAGAGGAGGAGAGGAAGGCTACAGAGGTTTCTCCAGAAAGTCCTCCGTCTCCACAGAAACACGACACCAAGGTGATCAAACCTGTCCCTCCTGTCCTGCCGTCCCTCCTGTCCACCTCCCTGTAATTAACTCTTTGTTTTCCAGACGGAGCTGACGGACACCGTCGTCGATGGTGACCTGACCGTGACCGAGGTACACACCTGTCCCTCCCATACAGGTCCCCTGTCCCCTGGGGACACCCTGTAACATGTCTGTCTATCCAACAGTCTGATCAGGACGAAGACCTGAAGACTCAGGTAAACACGAGGCTCGTCCAATAACAGGCAGGGCATAGAACCGGCAACCCTCTGTCCCGTCCTCCACAGGAGACACTGGGCAGCCCAGAGGACATCGTCCAGACGTCCATCAGCGCGCTGCGGCGCTCCTTCCTGGAGGGAGAGCAGGGGGGCGGCGGCATGACGGAGTGGGACAAACGCCTGGCCTCGTCTCCTCTGCGCCGCGCCGACGACGCACCCATGATCGAACCGCTGGAGCCCGAGGAGGTGAGCGGGTCAACCGGGGTCAACTGGAGGTCAACCTGGGGTCAACTGGAGGTCAACCTGGGGTCAGTCTGGGGTCAACCTGGGGTCAACTGGAGGTTCTAGGGGCGTCCAGAGCCTCAGCAGAACTTTTAGGTCTGTAGAACCAGAACTCAGAATCGGTGAACTGAGTTCACTCACACTTTAATATCCATGATGAGATAACAACGTGTTTTACCAGATAACAGATCATAACTGCAAAAGTATAGTGAGTGAATCAGGTCTCCAAAGAAGCGATTTAAAGCTTATTTACCTTACCTGTGTCCTATCACCTGATTGGCTGATGTCACTCACCTGTCCAGGAGGGAGGGGTGTTCATGACAAGCCGAGCTGCTGGACAGCCAATCAGAGAGAGGCAGGGGCGGAGCTACGACACGACAACCGGCAGAGTCCTCTCGGTGTGGGCTGTGGACGATGTCACCATGGCAACGGACAGACATGTCCTGGTGTCTGCCACTGATGATGTCATCAGTAGAGGACTGCCGGTCACCGTCCAGGAGCCGAAAACGCAGCCGGCGCCGGCTGGAAGCAGCAGGGAGGGGGGAGGAGTCCTGATGACGTCATTGCCTCATCATCAGGACGAGCCCCCACCGCCACTGTGGCAGTGGGGGCTAAGCCCCGCCCCCACTGCCACAGTGGTATGCTGGTTGGCATGGAAACAAGTATGATGAGTGACATCACTGTCCTGCTGTGGCACTGAAGCAGGAAGTGAGGTGTGAAACTGAACGGCTGAGAGCGCTGGTTCTGATCCGGAACGAGTGGTTCTGATCGCTTTCTAGTTCTTATGGCTTCCTGTCTCATAAAGCGTCCAGCCGGGTCACTTCCTGTTCCTGCTGGTCAACCTGGAGGCCCAGAACCAGAACCTGGATGCCTCCGGTCCTTCATGTCCAGCAGGGGGCAGTGAGGAGCTCCAGGCTTCAGCTGCACTTCCTCCCAGAGGCCATTTTGTTCCTGTTCCTGAGCAAAATGGAGCGCAGGAAGCTGCTGGCTTTTCTTCTTCTTCCCTTTCAGGTCAGGGTTCATCCTGAGGTCAGGGTTCATCCTGAGGTCAGGGTTCATCCTGAGGTCAGGGTTCATGTAGAGGTCAGGGTTCATCCTGAGGTCAGGGTTCATCCTGAGGTCAGGGTTCATCCAGAGATCAGGGTTCATCCTGAGGTCAGGGTTCATCCTGAGGTCAGGGTTCATCCAGAGGGGGCAGCATTCATTGCAGGGTGTGATGAGCCTCTCTGGTCGTTCAACTGTTGGTAAGTTTGAACCTGAAGATGACTGAAGCTTCAGTGGAACCCAGAACCCACTGGGCTCGGTTTTGGTCCTCAAACCCAGAGCTGCCAGGTCCATCAAGGTGTCCATGTCTATTTCCATGTCCTCACCTCAGTCTGTCTCTCCTGTCCAGCCCAAACCGTCCTTCAATGAAATGTCTCCAGAACTGATGGCTCTGCTAAAGTCCGCCAGAGAGCAAGAGACCTTCAGGGAACACAACCTGCTGAAGGTGCTGTCCTCATGTCCTCATGTTTCCCTGTCCAGGTCCATCTCTGTCATGTCTTCATTGTCTCCAGAGGATTGTCCTTTTATTCAGAACTTGAAGACGTTTTCATATCTGGACGTCTTGATAAGACACTTCTGTCCCACATGTCTCCTGAATGTCTCTGTTTTCTGTTTCAGACGTCGGAGAAGGTGGAGACAGTCTTTGTCCTCCCAGAGTCCAGGGAGCGGGACATCGCAGATCACTTTAAGGTAGCCCCTCCCCCCTGTTGCCCCCCGCCTCCACCTCCAGGAGCCGGTCAGGCCCCTGATGATGATGTCACAGCCCAGCAGCCCGGCTGCGGCGATGGGGGCGGAGCTAGTGATGGCAGCGGTAAACGTGAGGCTAGTGATGAAGATGAGGATGAGGATGGCAGTGATGAGGGTAGCAGTGATGATGATGTCATCAGCGTGCTCGCTCAGGCAGCCGTCGATGAGTCGATGGAGGCTGTGGTCAGACAAGCCACCTGTGGTTACCATGACGACAGAGAGTCAGACGACTCCCAGGAGGAAGGAGAGTGGACCCCGCCTGCACCCCGCCCCATGTCCTGGGACTCCACCAGTCCCACCCAACAGTCCCCACATGAGGACGAGGAGGTAACCATGGAGCTGCAGAGACCCGTCCCACTGAGATATTTCCCAGTAGGTCCTGTCCCACCAAGTCCCATAGAGTCCCTCTGTCCCTCTGAGTCGCTTCATCCCATGGAGATCTGTCCGCAGCAGACCTTTTGGACCTGTCCTCCTGATAGTCTCTGTCCCAGTGTTACCTGCCTGGTTCTGGTACCACTACATGTCCTGTTGAATGTGGAGGACCGGTTGTCTCCGGTTGTCTCCGGTGTCAACAGTTAAACAGGGTTTCCTGTGTGTTTCAGGAAGTCCCGGTGATGAGGAAGACTCTGACCTACGAAGCTCCAGGGGTGAGGACGTCTTTCATTCATCCATGTTTGCATCTGTCCAGAGGTGATTGGGTCAGTCAGAGCGGTTCTGGTACTGATCCAAAGCTACCAGGCAGATCTCCATTTTAAAGAAACCAGCAGGTTTTGTTCCAGATCTGAGGAGCAGAGAAGCTAAACGCTGCCTCATGTGGTCTGGTTCTGGTTCTGGTCTTCAGCAGATCTGTGAAGACCAGAAATCCAAACTCCAACAACAGAACCTATCCGTGTATTCTTTGATTTAAGGCCTGGTTCTGATCCATTTCAGCTGGATGTGAATTGTAAACATTCAGATCCGGCCCATTTCCTGGTCCTGCTCTGTACTGCCACAGGTTCCCTGACTGTTGGTTAGAATCAGGTTGTTTGTGGCTCAGTGAGGAGACCAGATGATCCTCAGTGTTCCTGACCTGACTGGTACTGATCCAGTCGGTACCAGTTGGACCCACAGCATCCCGTTGTGCCTCCTGATGGTTCTGGTTTTGTTCTGATGCGTTTCAGAGCCAAGGCAGCACTGATCCCCCTGGCGGCCTCCTTCTGAGCTCCCAGACCTTCACCGCAGAGACGTCCAACACCACCACCACCACCCACATCACCAAGGTATCACCATGGCAACACCATGCAGTCGCTGTGTTCACACAGCAACACATCAATGGATCTCAGCAGTTTGCAGGAGCCATCGGTCGCCTTTTTACAAAACAGTGAAGGACTGTCCGGCATTTTTATCTTGGGTAGCATTTCATCCCACCAAAGCGTGCCTACTGAACAGGTCAAAGGTCACATTGGGTCGGAGGTCTCTGACCTTCAGGATGGTTCAAATGTTGAGTCTCGTCTCTTCTTCTGTTTTCATCCTTAGATGATGAAAGGAGGAGTTTCAGAAACCAGAGTGGAGAAAAGAATCGTCATATCTGGAGACACCGAGGAAGACCATGAGCAGGTACCACCACCCTGAACCGCGTCAGGTACCACCACCCTTAGAACCCCGTCAGGTACCACCACCCTTAGAACCCTGTCAGGTACCACCACCCTGAACCCCGTCAGGTACCACCACCCTTAGAACCCTGTCAGGTACCACCACCCTGAACACCGTCAGGTACCACCACCCTTAGAACCCTGTCAGGTACCACCACCCTT